GATATTTTTAAGTCACTGATAGCCTATATGTCATTGTTGCACTTCATTATGAAGAATGAATACATAAAATCTCATTTATGGTACTGTAATGAAACAGTAAACATAGATTGAGACTGTGGTTAATTTACTTATGAGTAGCATATGACCTTTACCTAATATAATATAAATAATAATCTAGCACCAGTGGAATAACTTAGGAAAGCTTTAGAGTTTGAATGTTTCACCTTGATATGGCTACTTCAGACCCTGTAAAATAGTTATGTACTGACAACTTGTTTAATACCTGTATGACACTAAGACCATTTTTGTCAGAGACACAGAAATTTAATCTAAGAAATATTAACCCTTATTATGTATAGTAACTTGCTACATCTGCATGTACTGTTGTATTTATTCCTCATACTACTTTGATGAAGTGCTTGTATTAAATAATAGTAATGACCTGAAGAAAGAATTCTTTCCAAAATACTAATATATAATTCATCATTGGACTGCTTTTTGTTGTTTTCTTTTGGTCTTTTGCAGTACTGGGAACTGAACCTAGAGGTACTTTATCACTAAGCTATCCTCAAAATTTTTTTAATTTGAGACAGGGTCTTGCTAAATTGTTCAGACTGGCCTCAAACATGTGATCCTCCTGCCTCAGTCTCCCAAGTCACTGGACCACCATTCCTGGCCCATCTTCTGCAGTCCCAAAATATTTTCCAGTTAAACCTAATCCAGAAACTTGGATGAGGAGTAGCAGAACCAATTTTTTTTTGTACCAGGGATGCTTAACCACTGAGCTACATCCCCTCCCCTTTTCCATATTTTATTTACAGACAGAGTCTCGCTAAGTTGCTTAGGGCCTCACTAAGTTGCTGAAGCTGGCTTTGAACTTGGTGATCCTCCTGTCTCAGTCTCCCAAGCCGCTGGAATTTTAGGTGTGCACAACTGCACCCAACTAAAATGTTTGTTTCAAAATGGAATCACAACTGGGCTCGGTGGTGCACGCCTGTTATCCCAGCAGCTCAGGAGGCTGAGGTAAGAGGATCTTGAGTTCAAAGCCAGCCTCAGCAATGGCTAGGCACTAAGCAATTCACTGAGACCCTTTCTCTAAATAAAATACAAAATAGGGCTGGGGATGTGGCTTAGTGATCAAGTGCCCCTGAGTTCAGTCCCTGGTACCAAATTTTAAAAAATGTAATCATAGATAGTATTATTTTGATGTATTATTCATTCACTTTTTATTGTATTATTGACCATTATACCATGACTAAAATGTGTATGACCAAATGCCTGGGTCTTGCTGGACATTTAAGTGTGGTGAACATGTGCCGTAGAGGTGTACTCCCTTTCACAACTATGTGAGGATAGTCAGACTTGAATTGTACAAAAGGCCAGGGCAGAGCTTTTGACCTTCATAAAAAGTGACACATGAATGCATTTATACAAAATGCATTTAAATGACCAGACTTGGCAGGAAGTCCATATGAAAATCTGGCAGCACACGTTAATGCCCTGGTGCTCTCTAATCTATTAAAATTTGGTATATGACGTATTTCAGTATGTATGATTTTTTTTTTAATTTTTTTTTGATTTTTTTAAATTTTTTTTTGATTTTTCTTTCCATAGGACAATGACTTTTTTTAAAAAATTAAAGTGATAAGTACATATGGTTTTAAAAAATGTGATGCAGAACAATACTTATTGCTCTAGTTCTCTCCATACAGCTTTCTCTATTTCTTTAGAGAAAAAAACACTCCTCATCCTGCCTTTTTTTCTATCCTGGGGCTAAGAGATAGAGTTGCATCATGGGTATAAATGCTAGGCTGCTTGACGTCACCCTGCCTATAGGGTTAGGTGAGATGACTGTTCAATTTAACCACAGCTGAGCCCCTCGTTTATGCCTCCTCTCTGCTTTGGGAACCTGCTGTTCTGCTAGCCAGGTCCTCCTCTGTCCATCACACCAGTTCTGGAAGCAGCTTCCTCAGCTCTTTTTTAGTAAACACATCCATGTATCTGATGCTTTCCAGAAATGTCTTGAAATCTCCTGATCATCATTGGCCCACTCCTATACTTTGTTTTATTGAATTGTTTTCCCCCACCCGCCACCTCAACCCCTTGCTATCTATATTTGTAATGTGATCCTTCAAAGGAAAAGGCTATAAATGTGCTCAGTATGCCATATTGATTACCAAGAACTCCACTTGTTGCCTTTTTAATATTAGCTTTGTAGATAGTTTTACATATATTATTATCTGTATGTGTATATATGTATTTATGTTTAAATCAATCATTTCAGGATTCCTGTAGTAGCACCTCTTGTTGAGCTGCTTGAATCACAGTTTGAAAATCATTATTAGATAGCAGGTGACATTTGAGTATGTTTTGTTATGATGTAGGCTTGGGTCACTAGTCTCAGTAAAATTAAAATCCCTCGTAATTCCCTAAGCTTTGTGTTACTACTTAAAATAATGTCACCTACTACTGTGTTTCCTAAATTCCAGTTATTCACATACAGCCTTCATAGTATTTGCTTCATTTGGGTGGGAACTATAGTATTATATACTCCTTTTTTAAAATAATTAAAATTTAAAACACTTTAAATCCCTTTAAAGTGAAACTAAATGAAGCCCAAATTCAGCCGAGAGATAAAGCCCTTCACAATCTACCCTTTCTTCACCAGCTCTTTCTCCTCATTCTCCCTATAACTCCAGACAAAACCAGCCTGAACTTTCCTGTCTTCATCGTTTGGCTCCTATTGCTTCTTCCACTGATGTGCCCATTCTCCTCCCACTGCCCTATTAAGATCTGTTCAGATCCACCTCAGATGCCTTCCTGCCTCCATAAAGGGAAATTTGCTAAGGGCATTATCCTTGACAGAAATAAGCCCATTCTTGGATTAGAAGGTTAGATTAGCAGGTGGGGATGCATATCTGACTACCAGGGCTATTAGGAAGATTAGGAAAAAAATGTTGCAACCAACAAGATCCCCCTCACCTTTGTTTAGTGTTTACTGTGTACTAGGCCCTGTGCCAAGGGTGTTACATGCATTACTAATGTAATCCTCACAAATTTCTGAAATATGTACTATGTTATCCTTGAATTATATATGGAAAAATGGACACTTGAGAAAGGTTGAATGGGTCAAACTTTCATTGCTACTAACTGTCAAAACCCAGATTCAAACTTGGGTCTCCAACTGGCAGCTCATTGTCATAATAATTGATACAGATAGGAATTATCAGAAGCTGATATCAGTGGATAAAAGTTTGAAGAGTAACAATTTGATAGTCTCCAAGTCTCTGCTTACCACAGACGTAATTACAAAGGGCAAAATCATTCTGCAGCAGAGAAACCTGCCAGATACCACCCTAAATGACAAAGTAACATCACCAGAATGGAGCATGTTGATCTCCTGTACTTCTTGATATGGAGTGTCAAAGACAGGAGATCACTTATGTGAGCCAGATGGCTTGGGAGGCTGAGGTAGGAGGATTGCAAGTACATTCTTTGAACTCAGCAACTTACCAAGGCTATAAGCAACTTAAAGACTGTTTCAAAATATAAAAGGGGGCTGAGGATGTAACTCAGTGGTTAAGCAAACCTGGGTTCAATCCCTGGTGCACACATACACAAAAAAATTTATTTGGCTTTTTATCACGCCCATGAATTATTTTCAATTTTAAGTATTAGTTAATAATCTCACCAATATCACTCTCACCAAAATAAATTTTTAAAAATCTAGCTAATAGAAACTTTGTGTCATTTTTAAAAAATCATCTTAATTCTCCTAGTAGGGGACAAGAAGGCTAACCCTAACCTTGCAACTTTTCACACACATTGCTGTGTTAAATAACATGCCCAGTTACTGGTTTTTTTCCCTCCCCATTACAAATAGCAAGCTTACAAGGCTGTGTCATATCTCTCTCTCTTTTGTAATGCTGGGAATTGAACCCAGGGCTTTGTGCATGTGACACAAGCACTCTACCAACTGAGCTATATCCCCAGCCCCTCTATCAGCTCTCTTTTGCCCATTTTCCTCTACTTATCAATTCTTCTACCTTTTAATCAGTAACTATATTTCACATGTATTACTTCTCTGTTCTAGGCACTGAAGCATCCTGCAAAACAAGTGCTTGATCCTATCTGCTTTAGCAAGATATCTCTAGGTTTATAATCCCTTTACTAGCATATAAAATCATTAAGCAAGATACATGAATATTTTTAAGCAGAAATGTAAAGCAAAATTCTAATAAGCTTTTTTTTTTTTTTAATAATTTTTTTTTTTAGTTTTCGGCGGACACAACATCTTTATTTGTATGTGGTGCCGAGGATCGAACCCGGGTTGCACGCATGCCAGGCGAGCGCGCTACCGCTTGAGCCACATCCCCAGCCCTCTAATAAGCTTTTAAAGCCTTAAGAATAAAGGCTCATTTTATGGTCTTCAAACTCAACTGATGTCTTTCTCGAGGTCTACAAACTTTCCCTTCCTTCCTCTCTTTCTCCCTTCATCCCTCCTTCCCTTCATTCCTTCCTTCCTTTCCTTTTACTTGTGGTACTGGAGGAACTGAGGATTGAACCCAGGGGTGCTCTACCTCTTAGCTACAGGTCTCACAAAATTGCCAAGCCTGGTCTTGAACTTGCTATCCTTAGCCTCCTGAGTAGTTGGGATTACAGGAGTGTGCTACATACTTTTTCTTAAAGGGCTAGACAGCAAATATTTGTATGCTTTGTGGGCCAAGAGGCAAATTTGAGGATATTACGTAGGGACTTATTTAACCATTTAAAAAGTAACTGTGTAAAACCACTCTAAGCTCCCATGTGGCTGGCCCGATTGTGATTATACTTTGCCAATGCCTGCTTTATTGGTAAATCCCCTCCCTTTCTTGCATCATTTGAAAGAATGATGTAATTCCTTTTTCTTTAAAAAGTGATGAGTCATTTTTTTCTCACCTGTTGAATCACCATGACTCATTTGTTCTTCTACCATGACAAAAATTATACCCACACGGTAGTTGATGTCTAATTTATATATTTGTTATCTGTACAGATGTTTCTGTCCTCATCTTTACATTTGACTCCCTCATCTTACTGAACCCCCAAATGTTCAGACCTATGTATGTTTAACACAGTTTGCACACTCTGAGCAGAGCACAAATGTATATGACATCAAATGTATATACTACATACTTTCATAATGATCAAACATAAGCAAAAACAACCATTGCAGATATAAAAGTCAACAAGAGACATAGGAAAAAAGCGGATAGGAATACACACAAAAATTCTTGTTTTTGAATGATGCTATTTGTAATTTGTAAAATCTTTTCATTTTTATATATGAAGTTATATTTTTTTTACTTAAAGAAAAATTAAAATTAAGAATAGAAAAATGCAAAATAAAGGTAACAAACGTTTTTGACTTTTAGACTACGAAAGTAATATTCAATAAGGAAATCTGACAAATAGAAATAGACCATACTACTGATTTTCTCATGTTAAATTTAAGAGAGATGGATAAAGAACTCCTCAAGTTAAAGACTATATGGAAATGAACAGCGATGATCTTTTGGGGTGAAAAATAATCAATGTTATTCTCATTGAAACAAAATGAACAAGGAACTTTTAAACAGACCATACTTATCAAGGCTACTTAGCATAGTAATTTGATGGCTTCAAAATACACAACGACAAGCACATAAACCAATGCCTAGGAAAACCAGGTTGACTTTACAATGTGATATTAAAGTGCTGACTGTGATAATCTGTAAAATAAAAGGTGTTTGAAGTTTAATTTTGATTTTACAAAAATTGACACTGTTAAAACCAACATGATTATTTTCCATTCATCCAATAACTGAGCTAATAATATAAAAATATGTAAAAAATATTATAGATTCATAATTACCAGATATGCTAATACTCATATAACTAGTATAAATTTGATGATTAAAAAAATAAGTTTGTTTCCTTAAAAACGCTTGATTCTTTACCATTTAATATCAGATATTTGCTATCCTGAAGTACCAAAATAATCATAAATAAAAATGGCAATGTCTATACTTTAGGTTTCTTATTTGGTGGATCCTGAAGACTAAACTTTGGAATTTCACCAGAAGGAGCATATGGAATTCTCTTTGAAGATACCTTCTTGCCAATTGTTTCAATCTGAAGAGAAAAAAGATTTTAAAAAGAGAATTATTAATGATTATAACACATAAATGTAAGAGTTCTATAATGTAGTATCATAAGGAAGAAAACCAAGATTATTATTCTTATTACAAGCAGAAAAAGTTTCTCAAGTTGTCTGAGTTGCTGTGAGAGATCTTTGGTTCCTTCTTTATTTTCTGTTTCTAGAATCACCTCTACTCCACGTCTCATATTCATGTCTAGACACTCTCATTCTGCCATTCCCCACACAAGGCAAGGCATCAGAGCAGAGTCACATGCCTCTGTCGTTCTTAGTAGCATGTACGAAAGCAATGAACACAGAGATTCCAGTTAGTTCATATTCTCTCTCATGCTCTGCTCATTTCCATTTCTCTTACATGGAAAAAACTTGTGAAAGTTATAATAGCATCGTTCGTAAGGGTGCAGGCTTCAGATTCTGAAAGGGCCCAGCTGGAATCCTGACTACACTTGCTATCTTGCTAAACGTTCTAGATATTTCTTCCTCACAAATGGTGTTATAACCATTTACCTCAAAAGGTGTGGCAAGAATTAAAGTGCTTGGCTTTTAATACAAGTCAGCTTTTAATAAATGAGTCAATTATTATTTTGCACATAATATTTTTCATATATTCCATTTATTCAAAATAATCAGTTTTATCATTAAAAAGACTACTTCTTTAATAGTCATAAGTTTATCTCCCCTCCATAGCAAAGTATAAATATACTACTCCATTTTCATTTCTTCTGAATTAAAAATTGATATTTGTGACTATAAATAAAAAATTTCTGCTTTATATATTTGTTTGCTTGTTTCTTTTGGTATGAGAGATTGAACCCAGGGGTACCTTTCCACTGAGCCATATCCCTGCCCTTTTTGTTTTTTTATTTTGTGAAAGGGTCTCGCTAAGTTGCTGAGGCTAGCCTTGAACTTGTGGTCTTCCTGCCTAAGCCTCCCAAATTGCTGGGATTACAGGCATGCACCACTGTCCCCTGCTGGCTTTTTTAGTAATTCATATATTTTGTTTATTTAGTGACTCCATTCTTGTGTTGTTTTTTTTTTAAACTAGGGGAAATTAGCTTTTAGAAGAATTTAAAATCATTTTAATTATGTTATCCTTCTACATATAGTAAGTGAAAATATGTCTGTCTTGAAAATAACCTTTTATAAAGAACATTTCTAGGGGCTAGGGATGTGGCTCAAGCGGTAGCGCGCTCGCCTGGCATTCGTGCGGCCCGGGTTCGATCCTCAGCACCACATACAAACAAAGATGTTGTGTCTGCCAAAAACTAAAAAGTAAATATTAAAATTCTCTCTCTCTCTTAAAAAAAAAAAAGAACATTTCTGAGTTTAAGTCACAACTGGGAAAAACAGTCATGTTGTTACTCACTAAGGAGGGGTAGGATAGAGGAGTCCCCAAGGTCCTTGCTGGGAGAGTTAGCAGACACTGTCACCATCTGACTCTTGCTTCAATTCAATGTCTCATAAATGAGAAATGGCACTGAATTCTAAGTAAGAAGGCCCTTCAACAAGTTGGCAAAAAGTTAAAGAGAACCAGACCTGGTGAGGTTTTTCTTGTTTTTTGTTTTTGCTTATATGTGTGTGTGTGTGTGTGTGTCTACGTGTACACACAAACACACACATACACACACAATGTTTTTGTAGTTGTATACAAAATCTTTATTTTCATGTGGTGCTAAGGATCAAACCCAGCACCTCACACATGCTAGGTGAGCACTCTGCTGCTAAGCCACAACCCCGGCTTTGTTTTTGTTTTTTTTGTACCTGGAATTGAACCCAGGGGCACTTAACCACTGAGCCACATCCCCAGGCCTTTTCTGTATTTTAGAGACACAGTCTCACTGAGTTGCTTATGGCTGTGCTACCATGTCCAACAGATCTGGTGTTTTTGAATATCATACAAAGTCTTACTGGTACTTTTCCAGGACAGCTGGTGCTGAGAAGAGACACACAGCTGGCTATCAAATACTGGCCCCCTCTGCTCTGCTTGAGCACTAATGTGGACAGCAATCCTGTACCCTCCCTAATTACCCCACCTCCCCAACCTCCCAACCCCATGTACACACTACACTGAGAAAGTGGAAAGTAGCTCCTTTGTATTAGTACTTTAGGGATCCCCAGTGGAATTCAAACAGATGGAACATACGAATGCACTGTTCTGGGCAGAAGCATCTGTCAGCTGTCCAGAAGTTCCATGACAGACAAACTTTGAGATGAAGGCTGATACCACTGAAGCTTTTGTACTCTTCATTCAGACCTCTCACAGCACTGGGACAGTGCCGAGCATTCAAAAGGTATAGGATGAGCACCTGTTGACCACTCCTTTCCTTCTCTCAGCACCTGGTACTACAGATGGTAGCTATTCCCACATGAGGATGGACAGAGTTGCCCTCAAGATAGAGTACTTCCTCATTCTCCACCACAATCACACCCCAGCCCTTGCCAGATCCTCAGAGGTTAAGAGAAAACAAGAGGATGGGGTCAGCTGGAAGCAATAATAGACAATAATAATACTATATACTGTGTTTTGCAGTTTTCAAAACAGTCATGTGTTTTCTTACTTGATCTTTATGATACAAGGTAAGTCAGGGCACATTCTTTTTCTATATAATAGGTGACTGATGTCTGCTGTGTAAAGGAGACCAATACTGAATGTGATGTCAAATGAATTTTACATCACAAACTTTGGGAGTGGAGTAGTTACTTACAAAAGTCCCATAGAGAATTCCCTAGAGAACTGACGTATTGCCCCCAGAGTTATTTTATTGCTAAATAAGAAAATATGAACCCAGTTTGGGGGCATACGCCTATAACCGCAGCAATATGGAAGGCTGAGGCAGGAGGATCCCAAGTTCAAGGCCAAACTCAGCAACTTAGCAAGACCCTTTCTCAAAAAGTAAAAAGGACTGGGGATATAGCTCATTGGCAGAGAGCTTGCTTAGCAAGTATGAGACCTTGGGTTTGATCCCTAGTACTAGAAAACAACCAAAAAAAAAAAAAAAAAGAAGAAGAAAAGAAAAAGAAAGAAAAACATAAAAATTATAAAACCCACACAATAGGTTTAAAAAGAAAATAACCACCAGGTGAAGTGGCAGACACCTATAATCCCAGCAACTCAGGAGACCAAGGCAAGAGGATTGCAAGTTTAAGGCCAGCCTCAGCAACTTAGCAAGACCTTGCCTTAAAATAAAAAATAAAAAGGGCTGGGAATATAGCTCAGTGGTAAAGTGTCTTGTGTTCAATCCTTCAATACCTCCCCCAAAAAGAAAGAAAGAAAACAAACAAATAAATGAATAGGATCATGGGCTGGGGTTGTGGCTCAGTGGTAGAGCACTTGCCTTGCAGGTGTGAGGCACTGGATTTGATCCTCAGCACCACATAAAAATAAACAAAATAAAGGTATGGTGTCCATCTACAACTAAAAAATATATATATATTTTTTAAAAGTAGGGGCTGGGACTGTGGCTCAGCAGTGGCACACTTGACTGGCATGTGTGAGGCACTGGGTTTGATTCTCAGCACCACATATAAATAAATAAATAAATAAAGGTCTATCAACTTAAAAAAATATATTAAAAATAAATAAATAAATAGTAGTCCAGGATCATGATTACCTGGAAGCCAATGGTTTGTAGTTCATTGTGCAGCCCATCCAGGACACGTCGTCCATCAAAGATAAAGGCAGGCTTCAGCATTTTTTTATGAATGCGTTCATAATCCAATTCCTGTAAAAGATGTATGGACAGAACAATTAGTACACATGCACGAAAACATACTCAACCCCACTGATACTAGAACACCTCTAGAATTCTCCTTAATATGATTTCTGTCACCTTACCTTAAACATGTCCCACTCAGTGCAAATAACAACAGCATGAGCACCATCACATGCTTCATATGGATCCTTAGAAATGGTCACAAGTCGGGACACTGTAACAGCAACAACAATAAACCAGGAACAAGAGTTAGGTGAAACCATGTATTTTAACACTGGAATATAGGAGCTTAATGTCTGATAGAAATGGAACTTTATGGTTGAAGTGAAGGGGTGATGGTGGGGACCTGGAGCACCCCCGAACCTTGTTCTAGAAGCATCTAAACATATGTCTCACCTGTACCTGGTGTCAACTTACTTTTTATATTGGAAAAATTATTAGACTAACCCACAAATGAGGACATAATATCTGTTTAACTTTAGAGAAATAAGAATTGAATTCAAGGCATACCAATGATATAAATGGTAACAGACAATGGTTTCTAGAGAACAAACAAGTTTTGAGCACTGCACTCAAGATGATTCATGAGACTCAAAGCCTTACCTTGGTCATCCTCTGAAACACCTGGGTGAGAAAGATCCACAACTATTTGTTCCCTGGGTACTTTTGGATCATATATATGGAGGTGTGCACCTTCATCCATCAGATATTTACTAATATATATACTGGAGGATTCTCTGAATGAAAAAAAATATATATTAGTATTGCTTTAAATGACTTTATATTCTAATACTAGGAAATTTAAGATACAAGATTCACTGTCTTTCAGCTGGCCAAGTGGTAAGGATATGTTCATTTTTATTCTTTTTTTTAAATTGGTTCTTTTTAGTTATTCATGATATTTTTGTTTGTTTGTATGTTTTGTACTGTGGATGAAACCCTGGGGCACTCAACCACTGAGCCACACCCCCAGTCCTTTTTAATATTTTATTTAGAGACAGAGTCTCACTGGGTTGCTTAGCACCTCACTTTTGCTGAGGCTGGCTTTGAACTCACAATCCTCCTGCCTCAGCCTCCCAAGCTGCTGAGATTATAGGCATGCACCACTGTGCCTGGAAATTCTTTAAACTATGTGTGTACATGTATTTCACATGCAAATCCACCAAGCAAAGGATCACTGTTAAGATGAGAAGTTAAAAACATTCTCAAAGGGTTTGAATTGTGTGCATAGGTCCTGCTGGGGATTAAACATAGGGCCTCGTGCATATACTAGGCAAGTGCTGTACTACTGAGCTACATCCCCAGCCCTGAAATGTTTTAAAGAACACATACCTCGTATCACCAGTGTCCTTTTTGAATGCAAAACCCAAAATTGCTATCTTCTTATCAGTCACTGTATTAAATAGACTATCTATGATCCGAGAAGCAAATCTCCTCCTCTGGTAGTCATTCATGTCTATGACCTGAAATAAATGTATAATTATGCAATATTAATTTTAAAAAAAGTATAGCCCATGACATGCAGTACTCAGAATTATGGTGGGTCCTCCTATATGAACATTAAGCTTATATATTTACAGAAGACAAAGATTAACCAAACACTTTGATGTCTATAAATTTAAAAATAAAAAGAGGGCTGGTGATATAGCTCAGTTGGTAGAGTGCTTGCCTCACATGCACAGGTCCTAGGTTCTATTCCCAGCACCACAAAAAATAAATAAATAAAAAGAACTACCCAACCCCTTCCTTAAAGCCTTACTGAACATTTTCATTTTTACTTGGCTTGATCTGACATGCATCAGGATGGGATGGACACAAAGATGGGGTGCATAGCTAATTTTAACTGTGAAGGCATTTGAGATCCAACTATAAAGACGGCCTAAATAAAACAATATTCTCCATAACCACTTTCTCCAAACCCTGTGGAAATAAGGCTTTAAGCAATCAAATCTGAAAGTAGGTCTCTATGTGCTTATGTCTCACTATTCACCAGAATTTAGTCTGAGAGGAAAATGGTCAGGGTATAGTCAACATGCAGACTTAACAGCTACCTCTGGACAAATCAGGACACCACAAATACTTTGCAAGGTTTTTAACTAAATGTTATGAGACTAATAGTATCTGATCACCCAAAGTGTTAAAATTTAGACTGGTGACAATGCTCATAAGGAAAGAGACTTTTTATTTAAGGTTCTAAGTTTCTAGGAGCCATATCAAACCTTGAGAACTTGGGAACTGAGCCCAAAATGTTGGAAAATTAAGACTTGATCTGTATTTTGCTGGATTGAGTGACATGACCCAGAGTGTATATTTTCCCTAAAAAGCAAGCATTTCCTTAGGTTCCTTCCCATATCTTTTGCTGAAATCTGAAAAATTATAAACTCGGGAAAAATATAGTATCAAATATAGTGGCCAGTACCTTGGACAAATTATTTAACATCTCTGTGTCAATTCTCCCATCTGAAAAATGGTATAATGTTAGTGATGAGGATTAAATGAGATACTGCATGAAGAGTGCCCTACAGAGTACACAGAACAGGGTAAGCAAGGGTTTCCAACATTAGCTCTGTGAATATGAAAGGGACAAAGCCAAGTGTCAGTTGATGCAAGCCACTCAAAAGCATCACAATACAGGTTCCTCCTTTAATTTGTATTTATGCCTTTCAAGATAGAGAATTATCAAGAACTAGATAGTTTTTTATTTTCTCTGGGAGCATATTTAGTTATGAAATTAGAAAAAATATTGGTTTATCAGAAATTTCCATCACAGTTGACTACCAAAAAAGACTAATTAAGAACACGAACATCTAATAAATAAACCTAAAATAAGTATATTGATTTGAGTTCTTAGGATAAATTCCATCAAAAACACTTCACAAAGGGTGACGTGTTTAATTATAATCTAATCAAAAGTTAAAGATTATTAATACCTGCTGCCAATAACGAGCTACTTCAGGCAAATTCAGAGCCTCACAGAGATAAACCAAATTTAGGACATCCTTTTGGAAGCAGCTCCCACCAAAACCTGAGGGCAGAAAAAAATCAACAATATTTTCATGTAAGAACCAGAAACTGAATCATGTGACAAATTCTATACCACAGAAGATCCATACTAAGATTTTTAATAATATAATTCCAATGTTAGAAAATTAGTGAGTTTGTAAATTGTGTGAAATCTATCAACCCCTTAAGTAATTTCCAAATAATTTTCTAACAAAAGTTTCAATATGGGTACATTTGACATTTTGTTTTATTTTTACCTTCTTTCTCTCTCTTTTTTTTTTTTCTTTCTCTCATTCATTGGATATGACTGCCCTATATCTCTTACTCTTCAGTAGGGCTAGCAAACTCACAGGAAAGGGCCAGTTGGTAGATATTTTGTGGGCCACACAGTCTGTTCCAACTATTCAATTCTGTCACTATAGCTCAAAAGCAGCCCTAGACAATAAATAACATGTGTTCCCATGAAATTTATTTACAAAAACAAGCTATGGGGTGGATTTCAGTAGAGGGACAATTTGCTCCCTCTTGATCTAGTGTAATTTAGGATGCAATGAGGGATGGTATGAGCTTTGGAGTAAGACACACTCGGCCATTTAGTAGTTGTATGATTTTTGAGCAAGTTGAAAAAGCCTGAATCATCTCTAAAAAGGAAATAACAACACATTCCTAACAGGTTATAAAGATTAAATGAGATATAAAAAGTGCTGGTACAGAACCTGGCACATAAAAATGCCTTCAGTAAATTGTAGATATTTTTATTAAAGTATAGCTAGAAGAAAACATCAAAAAAGATATAAAAGGCCAGTGTAACTAGTATGGGAAATGACAGATAGTCCCTTAAATACCAGAATTTCTGCCTATAGCCCAATCTGTAAAATATCCTATTGAGTGTTATACCAACCTTATCAACTTAATCCAAAAATATAGTCAATTCTCATTATTTGTGTAGTTATATTCGACAAAGTCACTACGAACACTGAAGCATTGCTCCTAAGTAAAATACAGGGTGAGGTTGCTGCAAGTTTCCACTCATGTTTTTTTCAACTGATCAGTACAGCACCTGGTTTCACACATGCTCATGTAATACATACAACTGGTTCACTAATGCTGAACTCATGGCCAATGGTTCTATAATTCACACATATTTTCTCCATAAGACACATCACAACCTTCTTGCACTTAGAACCACTAGACAGCACTTGGGCACTCCACTTGGGGGTCATTTTAAATCATAAAGTCACCAACAAAAAGCACAAGTATGGCCAGGAGCAATGGCGCACGCCTGTAATCCCAGCAGCTCAGGAGCCTGAAGCAGAAGGATTTTAAGTTCAAAGCTAGCCTTAGCAAAAGTGAGGCGCTAAGCAACTCAGTGAGACCCTGTCTCTAATAAAATACAAAATAGGGCTTGGTGGTTGAGTGCCCCTACCCCCACCCCCCCCGGAAAAAAACCCCACAAGTATGTGAAAAACTGCACACAAAGGACACTTGTTTACAGTATAAGAGCTGGAATATGAAGGTAAAGCATTGCCTTATTCAACCTTGCAGACTTAGATGCCACACAAATTCTTCACTGTTCCTCTTGTCAGAGAATTATGACAGCCTTAGTATTGATTCTGAGATCACCAAAAAGTTTTAGGGAGTAGAAAAATTCACAAAACAGATTCCACGAATAAGGATTGACTATATTTCACCTGGACACATTTCCCAAAATGTATTAGTAAGAAAAACAATAGTGAAATTTGTTTCCTACTTGCTTGAATAAGGTGTTACTTAGTATTCTTATGTGGCCCCCAAACTATTAATTTTTTCCTCCAAAACGCTGAACTATATTTATCCTATAATCAATCATTACTAAATAATATAGGCAATTTTTGCCTCACTTAGGAAGTCCAGGGTAGGCTGAAGGACAAATATATAATAAAATCTTTTATTTTCTTAAAGGATATTAAGTTAAAAAAAAAGACTTCCCTGAAGTTAAACAAACCCACATTGGTAGAGGAAAACGTTAATTTACCAACACTGGCTTTTAGAAACTTATTTCCAATTCTCTGGTCCATTCCAATGGCTGTTGCTACCTCTTCCACATCAGCTCCTGTTGCTTCACACAGAGCACTTATGGAGTTAATGCTGCTGATTCTCTGGGCAAGAAAAGCATTTGCTGCCTTAAAAAGAAAAAATAAGAAGGAAAAGTATGGTGAGGGGAATAAGTGATTTTATACATCAGTACCATGCTTCATTGAGTTGATGCAAATGTTGTGGAGATACAGAAGTTACTGATGACTTAAAGTAAAGGAGATAATGGATGGTCTGGTAAAGAAACATGTTTTAAATAAGAAAAGATGATTTTTAAAAAATATTTATTTTTTTTAGGTGTAGTTGGACATAATCTTTATTTTATTTATTTACTTTTATGTGGTGCTGAGGATCAAACTCAAGGCCTTGCACATGCTAGGCCAGAGCTCTACCCTGAGCTACAGCCCCAGCCCCAAGAAAAGATGATGATTAAGGAAAAAAGGGTAAAAGAACGGAAAGAGTGATTAAAAAATACTATCTCAATATAGCTTCCATGTTATCTTACATCTTATTAAAATTTTTGAATATTACAAGAATATTTTATACTGATATTTGATCCCCTTAGAAAAATTAGTTCATAATCCGAATGTGCAAGAACATTATCTTCAAAAGGATAACATTTTATTAAAATTAAGAGAGTATCTGGGGCTGAGGCTGTGGCTCAGTGGTAGAGCGCTTGCCTAGCATGTGTGAGGCACTGGGTTCGATTATCAGCACCACATATAAATAAATGAATTAAATAAAGGTCCATACATCTAAAAAAAAAAAAAGAGTATCTGTGTAGCTTATCAGATTTAAGAGAAAAAAACACTTGGCTTTAAATTTATGGAAGGTAAGTGGGGTATGTGGCATGTAGCTGTCGCCCCAGCTGCTTGGGAGGCTGAGACAGGAGGATGCTCAAGCTCAGGAGTTCCAGGCCAGCCTGGGCAACATGGTGGGACTGTCTAAAAACAACAGTATTTAATGGGGAGTTGAAAGCCATGCACTAACCAGCTTGGAAAGCTCTGAAGACCAAGTATTGGTGGTAAGAATCTTTTCCCTGGGAACCCAGTGCTCATACACAGCACACAGCGCCTGCACAGCTCTCTGGCCCTCTGGGGTCTCATCCCCTCCGATCAGTACTCTATCTGGGTTCTTAAGGTCCTTGATGGCTGTTCCCTCTGCCAAGAACTCAGGGTTGGACAGCACCTAAAATCCCGATACAAAGCAAAGGTTTAAGTTAGAAATAATTATGGGCAATCCAAAGCCATCAATATCTACATAAGAAGAACCAGACTCTAATGCTTCATTTTTTTATACCTGTAAATTCAGGTTGGGTTTTGTGTTCGCGTCAAAGATGCGACGAATACTTTCTGCTGCTCGCACTGGGACTGTGCTTTTCTCAGTCACAATTTTGTACCCGTTTGAGTTTTGCACAATGCGTCTAGCACAAGCTTCAATATACTTCAGATCTGCTGCCCGGCCTTTCCCCATTCCATAGGTTTTTGTTGGAGTGTTCACCTGATGAAAGTATATGGGACAAAGAGTGATTTCAGGATATTCCTCAGATTATCAATTCATGGTCAAGTGGGAAGGTCACTACATCAGCAGTCATGATTGAACTCTCCTTACTTCCATGGAAACAGTGCATTTTATAAATATAATCATCAGAAGAAAAAACTTGAAACATCTGGAGAACTCATTCAGTAAATTTTTGTTGAGAAGCTACCACATATGTGCCAGATACTAAAGTAGGCAGGTTCCAAGCTAACCCTTGGAGATACAAATGGATGAGAAAGTTTTCATCCTAAAGAAGTTCAAGGTCTGAAAAGAAACATGTTTCCTCTTCTTTCATTTTTTTTTTTTATTGTATGCAATATATTGTCATAGTCTCTAAAAATAAACTTTGAACTCCTTTTTAATTCCATTTCTATAGCCCTATATCAACAGCTTTTTGAAAATGTTTGCAGAGTCGGGTGTGGTGGTTCATGTCTGTAATCCCAACAACTATGGAGGCTGAGCAGGAAGATTGCAAGTTAAAGGCCACCCTGGGCAATTTAGGGAGACCTGCTCTCAAAACCAACAAATAAAAAAGAGCAGAGGATGTACCTCAGTAAGTATCCTTGGTTCAATCCCTAGTACAGAAAAAAAAAAAAAAAAAAAATTGCCATTTCATTCATGAATGATTCCTTAGCCCATTAAAGCCAGATATCAGCTAGCATCTTCAGAACAAAGGATACTACATGCACAGGACTTTCAAATGGCAAGAAAAATAAATCATACTCCAGAGTCTAGGCATTTAGTCTTGGCTTAGCAATAACATACCACTTTGGGCAAGTGTGGCTGCTTCTGCCTCAACAACCTCAATGGTAAATAAGTACTCTATAAAAATTAACACATGAGTCTAAAATACATAAATAATAAAAATGAATGTGCTATCAAAAGTTTAAAATTTAATGAGGAATAATTTTTTAACAGGTAGTAAAAAATTAAAACCTCTTCTCTTGACAAGATTATGATTATGACCTAGAAGGAAACTAATAAAGGAACCAGGCAAAATAAATCAAAACTTGAGGATTAAGCTGAGGTGTAAAAAACAGGAGTCATTTGCATGGATGGAACAATTTAGGATACCTCTCAGACATGGAAGGCAGGGAGCAGAGAAGGGCAAAGATGGCTGATGGGGGAAGGCAAGACGGGCTAAAGATGGGAGATGATCCAACAGCTTCCCCTCGTAAAGTAGCTCTGAGATAACAGTTGAAAATTGATTCCTATGAACCAAGTGCAGTTGAACATGCCTATAATCACAACCACTTGGGAAGCTGAGGCAGGAAAATCACCGTGTAGGCTACTTAGCAAAACCTTGTCTCAAAATAAAATAAAAAGGACACTTTAACACTGAGCTACATGCCATTTTGTATTTTTTATTTTGAGACAGGGTCCCTCTAAGTTGCTAAGGGCCTCGCTCAGTTGTTCAGGCTGGTTTTGATCTTGTGATCCTCCTGCTTCAGCTTCTTGAGTCGCTGGGATTATAGGTGTGTGCCACTGTGCCCTCCTTATTATCAATTTTTTTATATAAATTTGATATTTTTCATGATGAGAAGCATACAGCAAGGAAACAAAACCGATCCAGAGAACAAAGAGAACTAGAAATGTAGACCATGAGTTAGACAGTACTAAATTCACTTATCAGGCATACAGAATAATAGTTTAGAAAGATTCAGGGCAGCTCAGTCTGGATCACCAAAAAAGCAAGTATAAAATTGGCTATTTGTGCTAGAACTACCCTAAGATAGCACTCTATCACCAGAGAACAGATTACTTTTAAATGTCCTTTTTACAGAAAATTCCCCTATTCCCACTCCAAGCTACAGTCATCTAAAAGTGGAACTAAGGTAACTTCTTGATTTCCTCCTAAAATCTAGTTTATATTTATAACTCTAACTTTCTGTGTATTTAAATAAAGGATGTGTAAGTGAGTCATAGAAGCTACCTCAGTTTTTCTGAAATGATAAAGAAGGCCGAAAACAGGGCTGGGGTGGTTGGAATTCAGTGGTAAGGCATGCATGAGGCCCTGGGTTCAATCCCCAGCACCACACACACACACACACACACACAAAAGGAAGGCCCAAAACAGACATTGTTTTATCACTAGCTTCATTACCACTTTTCTTCTAGAGTTCACATATTCTCATAGTACTGCTTTTGTCTCATCAGTCAGAAAACAACCCCTATCCAACAATGTATAACCATTAACAATATACATTATCAGTTCAACAGCAGCTACCTCTCTGGACCCACGTGCTCCTTCACTTTAGCTCATGGAACACTGTCAAATCCCATACCGCTGACTTTCTACTTATCCCTTAGGTACAAAAAAATCATAGCTAACCTACCAATTGGTGATAGCTACACCATCACATACAGAATATTTGAGTAGATGGTAACACGGACAGTAAGAAATTAGTTGTATTTGTTCAAATACTGAATAACTAGAATTTGAACCCAAGTGTTCATTCCATTTTTTTTTTTCACTATAAGGTATAATAGTTACACTGCATTCCAAGTTGAAAGTATCTGTGGACTACCCTAATGATATAAATAACATATGCCAAATAATTAATTTAAGATGACTTTTGCAATGCAATTTATGGAGATAGGAGATGGCTGTAAGTTTGCAAACTGATTCCCTTCACTTCACCTCTGCCACTCAATGGAAACAACAAATGATGACATATGTACAAACATCATGTGTGCTTATGTGCTATCAGCATTTCCTAATTCTAGATCTCAGATTAGAACTTTCTCTGGATTTATTTGTTCAATGATTTGAAATGATATACATGATCATATAAGTACAGGGTTTGATTAACTGACAAAGTGTCATCAAAATTCAATTGGACATCTCTTTATTAAGCAATGTTGTAGCTTAATAGCAATGAGAAAGTCAATGGAACTTTTATAAAGATGAGAATACGTTAGAATTCACACAGCAAAGAATAACACTTACAGATATGAATACCAGATCAGCTTCTTTGATGGCATCATCAATGTTTGTAGAAAAAAACAGATTTTTTCCTCGACAGGATTCTACCACTTCTTTTAGTCCGGGCTAGAAAAGAAATTATACATACAGTTTACTAGTCATAGGAGATGACCTAATACAGTGAGCTGTGTTTGTTAAAGGGGAAAGTTATAATGTAATATAAAGGTCTAAACTGGCTTTCAAATAGCACCTTTATAGACAAGCCAAGGCTCATACACGAAATGCCATTCAATGTACAGTACATGTTATCATCATTAAAGCAAAATTGAACTTGCACAATCAGAGCAGAAGCTCTAATGTGCTTTGTCATTGTTTACTGTGTGCCTGACTAGTTCATAAGTTAAATATTAACTCTTGAGTATCACCTTGATTTTCAGAAAATTCAAGGCCTTTTGTGATTTCAAGTTAGAACGATTTTGCACTGTCATCATGAATGAAGCATTTTATTCCCAATAACTCAGGCCAATTGGGTGTGAAAGGCAATATTTACTCTGTACATACATATCTAATTCAATCTTAACTAAACTTTTTTTATATGTAAAATCTCTCCCTTTTACAAAAAACACCTTGAATTTTTTTTTTTTTTTACACTTTTCCCCATACAATTTAACAAGAGATATACTTATGCTAAGAATGCTGAAGCTGGGCACAGGGACATGAGCCAGTAGTTTCAGCTACTCAAGAAGCTGAGGTGGGAGGATCACTTGAGCCCATTAGTTTGAGGACAGCCAGGGCAACCCAGCAAAATTCCATGATGAACAAAACAAATGAAGACTACTGAGATGTACAAAGCCACTTGACAAGTATTTTTGCAAAAAAAAAAAAAAAAAAGGAAATGAAAAAAAAAAACCAAAGCCTATCTAATCAGACCTGTCTTATAGATCTAACTACCAATTTACATGAAATAAAGGATATAGAAAAATAAAATTATAAAACCCCACGGGAACCGGGCATGATGGCACACCCGTGTAGTCCCAGTGTCTCAGGAGGCTGAGGCAGGAGGATCTCAAATTCAAAGCTAGCCTCAGCAACTTAGCAAGACCCTAAGCAACTTAGAGTCTCTAAAATATAAGAGGGTTGTGGATGTGGCTCTGGGTTCAATCCTGGGAACAAAATAAAACAAAACCCAGGGGACTCAGGACTCAAACAGCAAAATCAGAACAAAAAATTCTACAAGATAAACAAACCAGTTTCTTCAACCAATTAATTTAAGAGAAAAATAAAATAAAAGGAGAGGGAAGGAAGGTGACATTAAATATTGTGGACTTGGGCTGGGGCTGTAGCTCAGTGTCAGAGCACTTGCCTAGCATGTGTGAGGCCCTGGGTTCGATCCCTAGTACCGCATAAAAATAAACAAATAAAATAAAGGTATGGTGTCCATCTACAACTACAAAAAAAAATAATAATTAAAAAAATATATTGTGGACTAAAGCCGGTAGTGACTCATGCCTGTAATCCCAGCAGCTAGGGAGGCTGAGGCAGGAGGATCATGAGTTCAAAGCCAGCCTTAGCAAAAGTGAGGTGCTAAGCAACTCAGTGAGACCCTGTCTCTAAATAAAATACAAAATAGGGTTGGAGATATGGCTCAGTGGTTGAGTGCCCCTGAACTCAATCCCCAGTACCCCTCCCCCAAATATTGTGGACTTAAAAGATACTTTGGTATCAGTCTACTGTGAAGTATAGATCTTACTTGGATCTTGATTCAAATTAACTATGGGGTAAGAACATATATAAGATTTCTTTGGTTACCAATAGAAAAATATGGAAAATAAATAAATGAAAGAATTCTTTGTTTTTGTTTTTTTTTGGTGCTGATTGAACCCAGGACCTTGAGCATGCTAAGCTCCTTACTCTACCACTGAATTATACCCTCAGCCCCCCAAATTCTCTCTCTTTTTTTTTTTTGGTGGTACTGGGAATTGAATCCAGGGCCTTATGCATCACATAGTAGACAGCACTCTAACACTAAAGTATACACCAGCCCTTTTTATACTTTTTTTTAAGTCAGTTATTAACTTTATTACATTAGCAGTAGCACATTCATTTTCATTATTGATCTGGCCTATATAATTATACCAGGCAAGACTTCTTGTATTGGCAATAAGCCAAATGGAAAGGGTTAGAGAAAGGGAAGGAAAGGTATTCTGTACATCAGTCTGACTTCTTCAGTCTTTGGAATGAAGAATTTCACTTCTCATAAACATTAAGAGCTCTGTGGGGCTTTTGTTTGTTCATTTTTTTTTTTTATACTTTTTTATTGTGATACCAGATCTTGCCAAATTGCCAAGGTTGGTCTTGAACTTATAGTTTGTCTCAGTCTCAGTCTCCCAGTCTCTGGGAATACAGCATGTGCTACCATACCCAGCTTCTACCTTTTAATTGATTATGTAAATATCATAATTAGGTTAGAATGATACTTTCTATGAAAGAATTTAAATGCCAACGGAGCTACACCCCCAACCCTAAACTATTGTTTTTTTTGTTTTTTTTTTAAATGAAGAAAGTTAACAAAAAGACAATGACTATTCAGTTGATATGGTAACACATAAGAAAGGTATTAACATTAGATGTCAATATTAAATGCTAAATGTTAACATTAGATGCTGTTGGATCACAAAATGGCTCTACCAATTTACATCCTCACTAACAATGTATAAAATTCCAATTATTGTACATTCTTGTTAACATTTGGCATTGTTGGTAATTTTATTTATTTATTTGTTTGTTTGTTTGTTTGTTTATTTATTTATTTCTGGGGGTTGAACCCAGGGGCACTTTACCACTGAGCTACATCCCTAGCCCTTTTATTTTTTATTGTGACAGGCTTTCACTAGGTTGCTGATCCTCTCAAATTTGTGTCTTCCTGCCTCAGCCACCGAAGTTGCTGGGATTACAGGAGTGTACCAGTTTATGTAACTATTCTGATAAGTGTACTTTATTTTTGAAGACTACACTACCAGCAAAATTAATTATGAATATTTAGATATAAGTATGGATGTACATGATTTCAGGTGACTTGTGGCTCTTTAATGGATATCAGAATTAGAAAACTCTCTACTAAGTTGTCTTTATAAAATATTTTTTAAAAAAGAAAGGACTAAGCCAAATATAGTAGTAAGTTTCTTTCAACAGGGAGAATGCTATAACATGAAGTTAAAGAACTATTATGGCAGGTGATCTGGTAGGAGAAAGGACAAAGCACAAAAGGGGTAAAGGTAAGAGGGTAAAACCACACACATGAAGAACTTTTTAATTCTAAATCTGATTCAGATATGAGTAAACTTGGAATGTTGAGTGGCTACTACTCTGTGAATGCTTTTTCATGGGCTCATAAACAAAACTACTTGAGACTTCTCTTCAAAAAAGAACTTGTGATCCTCCTGCCTTTTTTAGTTTTGGAACAGGGTCTTGCTAAGTTGTCGAGGCTGACCTCAAATTTGTGATCCTCCTGCCTCATCCTCCCTACTTCCTGGGATTATGAACTATGGCTAAATAGAGTCTCAAAAACTAAAGACTATGGCTGATAGAGTTTAAAAAATAACTCAACTTTTTCTGGGGAATAAAAAGGAATATATTTGTGTTGGATACAAAATACTACCATCAAAATTTCAGATACTTTCCTGCTGGGTTTCAAAAGCATATCATGAATTCATTTTATGGTGAAATAATAAAGGGACCTGGATAGTTCATTTAAATAAAAGCATATTTTCCAAACTATAAATTCTCCAAATTCATGAAATTCTGAAATTCTAGGTAATTCTTGGTAAGAACTCTATGGAAGGCTCTGTTATATCCATCTAAGTTTTATCTGATGTTAAGTACAATAATCTAAAAATATATTGGACTTATATTAACATTATAAGTAACTAAAGTTTTTATTTTAATAGGATACCACCTTTTAATTCCACTACGATATGGTAACCATATTAATAGAGGAAATTAAAACACAGAGCCTGGCACAGTGGCACATGCCTGTAATCCCAGCAGTAAGGGAGGCTGAGACAGGAGGATCAGGAGTTCAAAGCCACCATAGCAATGGCAAGGTGCTAATAAGCAACTCAGTGAGACCCTGTCTCTAAATAAAATACAAAATAGAGCTGGGGATGTGGCTCATGGTCAAGTGCCCCTGAGTTCAATCCTTGGTACTCAAAAAAAAAAAAATTAGAACACAGAGAAAACAATTACCATAATCTCACCGCAATTAATACCAACATTACTAATATTCTGATATACTTCTTCTTTCTCAAGTATACTCATTTTTTCTGAGTATACTTGACATACTTCTCATTTTAATATACATGACTTCTATTATTATTATTATTATTATTAATTTATTTTTGCAGTGCTAATGCTAGAGCCTGGCACATGCTCTACCACTGAACTATGCTCCCAACCAAACATCCATGACATTTTGTATCCAGATTTTCTCACTAAATTTCTTATCATCTGCTGCAACCATAGATTTTTATGTTAATAGTATATACAAAATATTGAACAAATAGTAAGAAAATAGAGTCCAGTGCAATGGTGCAGGCCTGTAATGCCAGCAGCTCAGGAGGCTGAGGCAGGAAGATCTCAAGTTCAAAGCCATCCTCAGCAACTCAATGAGATCCTAAGCAACTTAGCAAGACCCTGTCTCAAAATAAAAAATAAAAAAGACCTGGGGATATAGCTGAGTGGTTAAGTGTCCCTGGGTTCAATCTCTGGTACCAGAAAAAGAAAACAAATAGATGTTTAATACATTTACCTCATAAATAGGAAGGATAGGAGAATTCCATGCGTTGATTCTTGATTCATTGACATCAACAACTGTTACTCTGATTTCGGGGCACATGTGAGCAATGACACTACATGTGGGTCCTCCAACATAGCCAGCACCAATGCAGCAGATCTTCTTAATTTCAAACATGACTGTACTAGAAGGGAAACAGTAAGAATGTTCATTCTGCAAACAGAAAATTTCAAGAAATCCCATTGCACATTCATTACACTTTAAAAACTATCAAAAGAGATATCTGGAAAGATTTTCTATATTCACTCATAAGAATTATGAAATAGTGATTTAAAAAAATAACATTCCAGTTGGATGACCTAGCATGTTCTCAGCTATGAAACAGATGGAAAAAATTATAGTAACTGATATTACTAGAGAAGAGTCACAACAATTATGACCTAATATTTAGAAAGTCATGAAGCAGTCAAGCGTGGTACGTATTCGTAACCCCAGTCTGTAGGGAGGATGAGGCAGGAGGATCACAAATTTGAGGTCAGCCTCGACAACTTAGTAAGACCCTGTTTCAAAAAAAAAAGAAAAAAAAAACATGAAGCAAAATAAGGCCTCATTTAGGCCTCAAATAAACCTGGAGAACTTTGCTGAGGGAAAGCTCCAGGGTAAATTTACACACCAGTGCAATTCTTCCTTAAGCTGTGGTGTACAAAGGTGAATTATACAACAGGTTTGACTAACATGAGAGATGTTAAGATTAGTTTCACAGTCCAGAACTGGGCTCTGAGATTATCCCCCTGGCTGTGGTTTAAATGTCTTCAAAAAAAATGTGTTGGAAACTGAATCCCCAGTACAACTGTGTTAGGAGGTGAGGCCTAATGGGAGGTGCCTAGTTTGTGGGGCTCCAACCTTATGTATGGATCAGTGCCTATTATGAATGGGCTTAAAGTTTTGAGTTTGATCTCTTGCTCTCTTTGCCCTTCTGCCAGGGAATGACGCTGCAAAAAGGCCTTAGTCTTTAACACCTCCATCTTAAGACTTGCCAACCTCCAGAACCTTGATCCAGGAAATTGCTGTTCATTATAAATTATCCACCTCAGATATTGTTATGAGAGAGAGAGAGAGAGAGAGAGAGAGAGAGAGACTGAAACTGACTTTGAGCAGGGCGCAGTGGAGCACGGCTGAAATCTAGAAGCTTGGGAGGCTGAGGCAGGAGTATTACCAAGTTCAAAGCCAGCTCAGCAACTTAGCAAGGCCCTAAGCAACTCAGTGAGGCACATACGAGCAATGACACTACATGTGGGTCATGTGGCTGGGGATTAAGTGCCTCTGGGTTTAATCTCTGGTAAAAGAAAGAAAAGAAAGAAAGAAAGAAAGCAATTATGATACTCCCTACATACTTAGTTTGGCTTCTTAGATTATTTTGAGGTATACTGGGCAATGACTTTAAACTCTTTCTACTCCACAGAAGTAATGAGATGGTTAAATAAACTTCTGTGGGCTGGGGATATACCTCAGTTGGTAGAGTGCTTGCCTTGCATGCATAAGGCCCTGGGTTAAATCCCCAGCATCACCACCAAAAAACAAACAAACATAAAAACAACTCTGTGTTACTAAAGCTGTAACACAGATTTTGATAGGCTTTTAAAAGTCATTAGATGAACTGATTCATACTAATCAAAATTACAAAGAGCTCGCCAGACATGGTGGCCCATGCATGTAATCCTAGTAACACAGGAGGCTGAGGCAAGAGGATGGCAAATTCACATCTACCTGATCAACACAGTGAGACTCTGCCTCAAAATAAAAAAAAAAAAAAGGGCTGAGGATGTAGCTCAATGGTAGAGCCACCCTGGGTTCCATTCCAGTATTTCAAAAATAAAATAAACATGAACAGAGTTTGGAATCATATGATTCTATTAAGGGAAGAAACACTGTTAGTGATATACATAAAAATTTTAAAATTTTTTTTGTTTTGAATAGGTAATATATTCACATGATTCAAAAATTAAATGTTATAACAAGATATACACTGAGAAGCCTCAATTTACTTTTTCTCCTCTACTGTTTCCCCAGCAGCTCCTTTGTTTCTCGTATATCCTCTCAGTGCGTTACCTGAAACCACAACTAATACACATACACACACATGCACACACATGTTCTAATAATCTCTTCTTTCTAAACTGAGGAAACAGAATACCATAGAATACTATCAACACCTGGCTTTTTTCACTTAATGCATTCTGAAGGCATCTCCCTTTCTTCCTGCCCCATTTTGCATGTGTATTTACAAGAGATATTTAAGCCATGTTCTAAATCTGAATAATTCTCTCATTAATAATCTGAATGAATGAGTTAATAGTTCTCTATTATCACTTGTGAAGCCTACTTACTATTCCTATTAAGCCTTTAGGATTCCAAGATTCACCTTGGGAAAAATACCAAGCCTACCACAGTTGACTTGTGGCATCCATTCCTCTTTCCTTGCTTTACCCATCTTCTACTTTCACTTCTACCCTTTACCATTTTTCAGGCTTCTTGTACCTCACACATGGAGAAAGAATCTACATGGGCAGAAAGACTATATCGGAAGGACTAGGTGACGAAAGCTCAGAGGAATGTTCTGAAAATCTCCGACTTGCTCCAGTCTATTCCCTTCTTCCTCACAAAAAAAATTAATATTCCCAATTTAAAGGCACAGCAGAGAATTTGGCTATGGAGAGATCCAGGTCCTGACATTCAAGTATTTAACAACTGATTTGGAGAATAATTCAATGAAACATTCATTAAACACCCCACCAAGTAATGGACACCATTGTTCTATGTACTGTGAATACAATAGTGAACAAGACACACCAGCTCCTGCTCTTTCTTGCACAGCTGCATTCTGGTAGGGAAACACAAAATAATGGCAGTTGTGAAAGTTTGACATAATGGAAACACACTGGTGAAAAAGTGAGAAACTGTGGGGAAAAGGGGTCCTTTAGATAGGGTAGTTAGACAAGGACTTTGAAAGGTTGACTTTGCAACTGGTTAAAAAGATGAAAAAAAGTTGCTCACAACTAAATAAAATGGTTAAATTATACAAAGAATATAATCAATTAAATGACAAAATGAGTGTTAAAGTCCAGAGGAAAACAAACATTTCAAAAAAGAAAAGGAAAGAAAGTTTCAAGGTAGATGTAGAACCTGACTTTGGTCTAAAGATTGGGTAAGATTTAGAAGGAAAAAGAAAGCAGTGAAGAACATTCCAGATGAGAGGAAAAAGAAATGAATAAAGACAAAGAAATGAATTCAGAGAAATGAGAAGATCTTCTCAGTTGAACAAAAAATGGAGAAGGTATTAAGGAATAATAATCAGAAATACTTATCGCCCACAGTGGAAAGGAATTTTAAGTGGGTCTTGAATGTCCCTCTCAGAAAAGTCAGACCATAACAATCCATAAGGCTATAATTTAAAAACAATGTAACATAGCAGAACATAACCATAATAATCAAACATGTTAATGTAGCTCAAATTTACTCCACTGAAGGGGGTGAGGAATGTTAAAGGAATAATAAACCTGAAGTCTGGAAAAGAGGAATGAAGAACAAGAACCACATGCTATTTGATGCAATATGTATTTTAATACAGCAAAAGAATAGTGATGTGGAATCTGGAGGTCAGACCTTTTCTGGTTTCAGAGAAGCGGGGACAGGAACAGGCTTTTCCATGCTTCCCAAAGATTATTTTGCTTTAATTCATTTAATTGATTATATTCTTTGTATAATTTAACCATTTTACTTAGTAAAGTACCCCAGGTTCAATCCCCAATGCCAGTACTTTACCCCGAGCCACATTTTTATTCTGAGAAAGGGTCTCACTAAATTGCTTATGGCCTCGATAAGCTGCTGAGGCTGGCTTTGAACTTGGATCCTTCCGCCTCAGTCTCCCAAACTGCTGGGATCTTAGGTGTGTGCCACTGCACCTGGCTGCTCTGATTCCATTCTGATTTATGAATTCAGATTCCCAGAAACCAGGCTACTAAAAAGTAATAACCTGGATCTGAGACACAGATACAGTTGGCCATCTGAATCTGATAGTTCTGCATTCAGATTCAACCAAGTGCAAATTGAAAACATTTGAAAAAAATATTTTCTTGTTATTATTCCCTAAACAATAAAGCATAACAACTTACACTATATTAAGTACTACAAGTATCTAGAGATGATTTTAAAGTATACAGGAGGATTACCTAGATTATACACAAATACTACACCATTTTATCTAAGTGACTTGAATATTCTTGGATTTTGATATTTCGTGGGTGCCCTGGAACCAATCCACCACTGATTCCAAAGGATAAATGTATTCCAGACACTGCAACAAATCTCCAAGCTGCATACAGTGGCACACACTTGTAATCCCAGTCACTTGGGAGGCTGAGATGTGAGGATTGCAAATGCAAGGCCAGCCTAGACAATTTAGCAAGACCCTGTCTCAAAATTAAAATAAAAAGGGCTAGAGGGGGTAGGCACACCTGTAATCCCAGCAGCTTGGGAGGCTGAGGCAGGAGGATCCCAAGTTCAAAGCTAGCTTTAGTAATTTAGCAAGACCCTGTCTCAAAAACTAAAAAGGGCTAGGGGACAGGATTGTAACTCAGTGGTGGAGTGCTTGCCTCGAACGTGAGGCACTGGATTTGATCCGCTGCACCACATAAAAATAAAATAAATGAGGGTATTATGTCCATCTACAACTAAAAATATTTTTTTAATTTTTTTAAATTGTTGATTGACCTTTATTTATTTACTTATATGTGGTGTTGACAATCAAACCCAGGGCCTCACACACGCTAGGCAAGCACTCTACCAACTGAGCCACAACCTCAGCCCAACAAAAATATTTTTTTTAAATTTTTATAAAAAGGGAGCTAGAGGTGTGGCTCAGTGGTTAAGCACCCCTGGATTCAATCCCTACTACCAAAAATAAAAGTGAGGAGGGGGTCTAAAGGGACCAAAGTTACAGCTCAGTGAGACAGCACTTGCCCAGCATGTGGAGGTCCTGGGTTCATGCCTAGCACTGTTAAAAAAACAAAAAAAAAAAGGAGAAGGGGGGAGCTGGGGTTGGAGATGTAGTTCAGTGACAGAGCACTTGCCTGGCATATCAGAAGCCCTGAGTTCAATCCCCAGTACTGGGGGGAGAAAACCCTCCCCTACTGAAATAGTAATAGTTCCATTCTAGTGTATATACTAGTATAGTCTTCCATAGTGAAGACTACAATAAATCAACATCTGGGACCAATGAGTGTATAGACTGTTTACTTTCTAGAGCTGCAGGGATGGAGATCAGATCCTGAATTGTTATGATTTCAAAGAATTAACATACTAGAAGACTACCGAACAGCTAGCTAGCCTCCCTTGCTAATTAAAACCAGTTTGCCTATAATATCTACAAAAGATAATTTGAAATTCTGAACCAGAGGATCTTTCAGGGTTACCACTCAATCCTATAGCCAAAAGATTATTTGGGCGTTTTTTTGTTTTTTCCAGTTGTACTGATGGTTGAACTCAGGGATGGTCTATCACTGAGCCCACATTCCCAACCCTTTTTTACTTTAAAATTTTTAATTGTAGATGGACACAATACTTTTATTTTTTTAATGTGGTGCTGAGGATTGAACCCAGTGCCCCACACATGCTAGGCAAGCAGTCTACCATTAAGCTACAAGCCCAGCGCTTTTTAATTTTGAGACAGAATTTCATGAAGTTGCTCAAGCTGTCCTTGAAGTTATAATCCTCCTGCCTAAGTTTATGGAATCACTGGAATTACAGGTGTGCACAATGGCATCCAGCTATTAGGAATCTTAACACAATCTATGACTTCAATCTCAACAATGATAGGTTCTGTTAACATTCAAGTAATAAACATAGATTAAATATCTACTTGATGCAACTCTTAGGCTTAAGGAATCTGTAGTTTAGAAAAGCACACTGAGGATAACAGTTCTTATCTGCTGCTATTCATGGCTATATCCTCACACCTAGAATGGAAGCCCCTCAATAAACTTTCATTGAATAAGTAACTTTTCACAAGGACCTCTTAAATTGCAGGCTTGTGTTTAAACAGCTTAATTTAAATGGCTAATTACAATATTTTATAATAAGGAACCAGAAGCATGCTACCATGTTTTCCTTTTTTTAAAAAAAAATACATTTTTTGTTGTTGTAGTTGGACACAATGCCTTTATTTTATTTATTGTTATGTGGTGCTGAGGATCAAACCCAGCAGCTTCCATGTGCTAGACAAGCACTCTACCACTGAGTCACAACCCCAGCCATGTTTTCTTTTCTTTAGTGGCCCTAAAGAACAGTAACATTTTCTCCCAAAGCATTTTCTCCCATTTTCTTTTCTGAATTGTAAGACCATATTTCAGCTTCCCTTACATAGAGCAACTGGGGCAGATAATTGATGGTAGGTGGATCAGTATTATAGAACTGAATATGTTTTAGGACTTCATTTTGGGTATGATTCTCTTGCTACTTCATATGAAATATGGTTTGTATATGATAATGGGAAAATTATTGAAAAAGCCAGATGAACAATCCGTACAAATCCAAATAAATATCACTTGAAATTTCAATGACATCCTCAATAAACTTTAATATGGAGGTTGATACAGTGTTAGTGATGCACTTTGTATAACATTTTCTGAGTCCATTTTTTTATTTCTACTTGTCGGTATCCTCTGGTCCTCTATTATGCTATCAGAAAAATGATATTTGCTTACTGAATAGGTCATTTTGAAATGAGTTCTCACCTCTGTATTTTGAAAGTTGCAACACCCAAGCCATTCCAAAACTACTCTTCATGTAAAAATTTCATAAATTCAGATAAACATTTCAACCTAGAAGATGTCACTAACAAATAACAAATGCCCCACAGTGCAATTTAAATAAAATATAATCCTTCTGCCCACAGCCTTCTTCAGCACTCTTCATAGATAACCAGGAGCTAAACAATGGGCCTTAAAGATGGAATTCTCAACTTCACATTTCATTTTCAGTTCCAGAAATTAAATATTAAGATATTTGATCCAATAAAAATATTTAACCAGTGAGAAAATGTTAACATTATCTCTAAAGGGCATTTTGCAAATCTGTGTTAACAAGTAGAGGAAGATGGAGCATACTTATCAGGTACAGATTTTATGCTAGAGGAAGGAGAACATGAATGAAAGAAAATGGGATCCTTTCAACCAGGGTTTTCTAGTGCTTACCTTAAACTAGATGCTGTGTACTAAAAAAGCACATCTCAGAGCAGACAGTTGGCTCTTTCATTTTCAGAACCCCTCTGAAGAAACAGACCAGACTACTGTTCTCCAATGTTTAGGGGATTTTAAGAAACTCAAAGACTCACTGTGTCTTTGAGGCCAGTCTATGGAAAGCTACTTCTCTGAACATCATGAATAGCTGCTTACCAGTCAATCCCTCTTTCTGTGTATCAGAAATCTCAACTCTACTTAATTATCTTCTTATATGTAGGACGTACAATTTTTTCAAGATCTCACACAAACATGGTCTCCTGAAGCACGCAGGAAAGGCCCCTTTCCCGACAAGAAGTAGTACAATTATATGTGTAGCGGTCAACAATGGATTGCAGGCAGCCTACACAGCCAACACGATAGAATGTCTTGGGATTTTGCCTTCAAAGGGGTTTTCCGACTTCGTTTCTCTTTGATTTCAAGTGGCGGCCTGAAAATAGCGGCAGCCCCCCCCCCCTCAGGTGAGCATACTCTAAACCCAAACAAAAGACTAGACTCAGACCAAACTGAGGTCCCCAATGAAAGGACCGCTTCCTTCGGTGGACGCTCGGCTTTCAGAAGCGGAGGGGGAAATCTCGTTTGCATCCAGCCAGAAAGTGGATAAAAGCAGAAAGAGAAGAGTCTTAGAGGCGCACGAATCTTGAGTAAGGCTATCCCATCTCCAGGGAAGCAAATGCAAAACGCGATTCCCGCCCGGAGCCCAAGAGACTGGCAGCCCTGGACCCAGCGCAGCTAGAGACCAGGAGCAGCGCACACACCCCGCCCCGTTCCCTCCACGTCCAGCCGCGACCCGGGAGCATCCTGACCCGGCGGCGGGGCTAGCTGGGGAAAAGCGCTTACCGCTTCCAAGCCCCGAGCTCCACGGCCGCTTCTATTCCGAACGTTCGGACAGCACCTTTCTCCCGACCCGGTTGCAGCAGCTTCTGCACCCTCAACCTACTCCGCCAGATCTCCCTTCAGCGCACACCCCTCCCTCAGGCTGCCAGGCGCCGCACCCTGAGTCCCGGGCCAGCGCCCGTATTTAAAGGCTTCTGCCCGGGAAGGCGGAGGCTTCATTCCCCCAGAGCCAGGCCCTCCAGGACTCTGCCCTCAGCCGATAGCCTGCTCCACCTCCCGCCGCACGAGGCCTAGGGCAAGGCCCCGATTTCCAGCAGGGCGCAGGGGCGGGGCCAGGCGGGGCGGGAGGTCCCGCCCACGACAGCTCGGGCGAATCCGCACAGGCCAGCTCAGCGGCCCCACCCCTCCCGCGACTGTGCTAGCGCGGGGCGGGTCTATGCTGCTGCGTGTAGGAGGTCTAGTGCTCTTTTTGTCTTCTGGATAGTCCGGAGGCCGACCCTCTGCCCCTGCTTCGCTGTACTAGCAGTCGGCGCTGAAGCGGGAGACTGTGTCAGCCAAGCAGTGGGCTGCGGGGGACTCCGGGGAGGGGGGAAGAGTGTTGCGGGCCGAGGCGACCGGAAGGTCCTGCCCCCTTTCCGGTCTCCCCTACTGCTGGAGCGCTGTCCTCCTGTGCAGCTTCCTAGACCGTGTGGCGTGGTCCCAGAGGGTGGATTACTCCCCTTCCAACCCTCCAGGCCCTGGGTCTGCTGCGCCCTCTGGGCCCGCGGCCCAAGGTTTAGTCACGTCCCGCTCGACCGCCGTGTCTGGGAAGGAGGCGCTGAGTTCCGTAATGACTGGACCACTTAGTGTCCCAGCCCAGTCCTTGGCAGGCGAAGCCGGACACCCACGCCCTCCAGGCGAATTTTCCATACAGCCAAACTCAGACCCTGGGGTGTCTGTGCATGATACATAGCCGGCAGTAAGCAATGTGTAAGTGTCTGAGAAAGAGGAAAATTAAAGTATGGAGCCCGCCCACTCTTAATGTGAAGGGCAGTTCCTGTTTCTTTCGCTACTCCGAGATCATTTTAAGCCTCAAATCTTAGAAGGGAAAAAATCAAGCATAGTCATAATTTTTTTTTATTTCCCTAATTAAATGAATTACATCAGGTGACGTAATCTGTACTTGGAAGTCGAAAGTGGTTTTTAAATACAGTCATGCATCCGATAACGATGAGGATACTTTCTGAGAAATGTGTCGTTAGGCACTTTCATTGTGTAAACATCATAGAGTGTACTTAGACATACTAAGCCGGCTGTGTCAGTAGGCAATATAATCTTACAGGACTACCATCCTGTATGGGGTCAGTCCTTGACTATTGTGAGAGTTAATGCAGCGCATGACTTGTAACTCATGAGAAGAGTGATTAAAAACTTATGAAGGATCCCTTCATGAGACCCTGTCTCTAAATAAAGTAGGACTGGGGATATGGCTCAGTGGTCCAGCGCCCCCCCCCCCAAAAAAAAACAATAACTTATGAAGGTACATTAAACTATCATGTGGATTGTGATTTTCTTAATGGGATCATGGTGATAACTTTTAAGAAAATTGCTGAATGTTAATTATAACTTGCTGCAAATTGTAGAAAGTGTGATAGACTATGTAGGCTTTGTACATTCAATCCAGTTCATTCATTCAATAAATATTTATTAAGGGCTGACTACGGGTCAGACACTATCCTAAAGGCAGAAGATGCAAAATGGACTGATTCAGTTCATTCTTCCAAAGCTCATGTGCTTACAAGCCACTGCAATGCATGAGACAAATAATATAGTAGAGGTATCTTTTTGAATTTAGCATTGATTTAATTTTGTGTTGTTAGAATAAACCTATTCTTCCCTTTATTTTGAAGACAACGTTTTTTAGTAGGTGTGAGACCCTGGGTTCAATCAAAAAAATATTTTTTTGCATAGTGTTCACCTAACATTCTTTGCACACACACACACACACACACACATATATATGTGAGTGTGCATATATATATTTATTTTAGTTGTTGATGGACCTTCATTTTATTTATTTATATTGGTGCTGAGAATGGAACCCAGTGCCTCACACATGCTAAGCAAGCATTCTACCACTGAGCCATAACCCCAGCCCTCTTTGTTGTTATTTTTTTTAATAATAATTTTCAAAACAGTCAATAGAATCTCAAATTAAATTAGAATATCAATACTAGCTAGAATGGACCATTGAATCCAGGACAGTACTTCTCAAACTCTAAACTAGGGGTTCCCTAACAGTTCCCGGGGCCTTTTTAGAAGATCCACAAGGTCAAACACCTTCTTGATAATAATATACTATTTGCTTTTTTCACTCTCATTCTCTCACAAGTGTACAGTGGAATTTTTCAGAGGTTATATTGTGTTGTAACAGATAAATACAGCAGCAGAAATAAAAATCCAGCTGTCTTTTCAGTCAGATATTAGAGATCTAGAAAAAATACAATGGTCAGTCTTCTTACTAAGTATTTTTGAAGAATATAGTAATTTTGCATAAAACATGTATAGTTATTGTTGATTTAAAGGAGTTTACGTGGGGCTGGGGATGTAGCTCAAGCGGTAGCGCGCTCACCTGGCACCACATACAAACAAAGATGTTGGGTCTGCCGAAAACTGAAAAAATAATTCTCTCTCTCTCTTTTTTTTTTTTTTAAAGGAGTTTATATTTTTCATAATTTGTCACTTTTCATTTTTAATATGGTAAACAGATACAGCTCATCCAAAAAAACCTTTTTGTAGTCTTCAGCTTTTAAACTTGAGATTTCTGAGACCAAAAATTTAAGAACTGCTGATGTAGTTTGTTTGTTTTTGTTTTTTGTGGTACAGGCAATTGAACCCAGGGTCTCACACATGCTAAGCACATGCTCTACCGCTGAGCTATACCTCCAGCCCCAAACCAGTTTTCAAATTTTGTTTCTTAGAGCCTTAAATTTCTCTGGAGGTTTGTCAGAGTCTGTTAGAAAAGAGAAGTGGAAGGTTAAATGCAGGGCTCTGGGTCTCTCTTATCCCTCTCCTTCTAATCAGAGCTGTTCTACTTTTATCTTCTTTATATGTAATCCTTTCATGTAGGATTTCAGTTTACAAATGGGTTGTTCTTACATGAAATTTTAAAAACCATTGATTCATTCATTGAAATAAGTATTTCCCCAATTGTTGATTACATGGTATGATTGTGCTATTTAATGGGACTGTAAGTGTGAGTAAAGGATGATTTGTTCCCCACCTTTGTAAATTTTACTCTATGGGGGAACATCAAACAATCATCTAGAAAAATGTAAAATTGAAACTACTAAATGATGCAGTGGTGCACACCTGTGTAATCCCAGCAATTCTGGAGGCTGAGACAGAAGGATTGCAATTTCCATATTGCAAATTCCAGAGGATTGCAAGTATTGAGACCTGAGCAACTCAATGAGACCCTGTCTCAAAATAAAAAAAGAGGGCTAGGGATGTAGCACAATAGTAGAGCACCCCTGGGTTCAATCCCCAGTACCAAAAAATAAAAATAAATATTTTATTAAAGAAAGGTGCTTATGGGGGCTGGGGTTGTGGCTCAGTGGTAGAGCGCTCACCTAGCATGTGTGAGTCCCTGGGTTTGATCCTCAGCACCACATAAAAATAAATAAATAAAATAAAGGTATTGTATTCAAATAAAACTAAAAAATAAACATTAAAAAAAAGAAATGTAGTCATGGGGGTGTATATAATATTTAGCATAGTAGATCATAGATATTTCCTCAAATTATGATGATTTCTAAAGGAAATACAGGCATTAACTAGAAAGAAATGAAGAGGGTAATTAGAGGAATACAAAGAGTGAATGTGGGATTATCAATTCATAGGATAATTACAGTCATCTGATTGAAGGTAGCATGTCTAGGACAGTAGCAGTGAAGATTCAGAGAAATAACAGATTCAAGAGATGATTGGGAATTAAAAGTAATAAAGGCTTTGATAATATCCCTTCTTGCTACTTCACGTCACATCAAGGATGACACTTTTCTGAATTCTGACAGTAAAGGTTAGTTTTAACTTGGACAAATATAGTTAAAGGAATCCTAATTTCAGTTTCTCAAATTCCACAGGTACCCTTTTCTAAAACTGATCTGAGAACAGTCCATTTCACAAAAGAAGGGCTTACCTTTCAAACAAACAAAACATGACTATGATCTATTACCCAGGTGGAAAATTCTTCCTGGTGCCAAACAAAGTGATATTTCTAAAGGAAATATCATTATTACCACCTATAATGAGTAATCAAAGATCCTCAAATTTGATGCATATTTTTGTTAAGGGTGAAGTTCAGAGTAAGCAACAGAACATTTGGGGGACTGAGGGTATAAGCTTAGGGGAAGATTTTGTGCTTAGCATGCACAGGTTCTGGGTTTGATACCCAACTGCAGAAAGAAGGAAGAGAAGAAACAGTAAATTTTGGCTTATGTTGGTAGGGTCTGAATGTCAAACAGAAGATGCCAAAATTAGTGACCTTGATTATTTTAAAAACAACTTGACAAATATTTGAACTTATATCCAATCTCTCTGTCCCTCCCCTCCTCCTCTCCCTCTCTTTTCTCCCTCTCTTCTATACTGGGCATCAAATCCAGGGCTTCATACCTGCTAGATAAGCATTTTAGCACTGAGTTGTATTATCCCAGCCTTCAATATTATAATGAATCATTTTTTCCACTTATTTTCCCCTTATATAATGTTTAATATTTTCTATTTTTTTATTAACAAAATTAGACCTGGAAACATAGTAAATGCCAAATTAAAATGTGCACACCATTGGCTGAAGTCAGAGACATTCTTCAAATTTCCAAGATGTGTAGTCATGTTGATTCTGACACTCTGAGCAGGAACTGGGATTATAGTTATCTTTCTACTTTGAGCTAATCAATTTGGTTGTATGTCTTACAAAATCCTTTGTAAATTTCTGCATAATAGTATTGCTGACACTAGTGGCCTTACCCAAAGATTGTGTTAAGACAAGCAGAGATAAGTGGTTTGTTTATAGATGGAGCCAAATGAGTTTAGGGGAAAACACATGAGTCAAAACTTAGGGCTCTTTCTCTCTTCTGTGTATTTTGGCCAAAAAGAGGAAAAATAAATGTCTCCAAAAGTTTGATTAGTTAAGCCAGTAATTGAGGTGGAAAAAGAAGGAACACATAAGAAACTTTATTAAAGAAGAGCATCAAAAATGATTTGCATTACATTTCTAAAATGAGAAAAGAATGTTCAAGATAATATGTAGCATGAATA